CCTATATTTAACCATAGCAAATTTACACACTCCTGATAAAAGTTTAATTTACTAAGTATTCTGTATGTGGAGAAAGTCTATTTGCAGAGTGAGCATATCTTCAGAGTGAGCTTTAGAACCAAGGTGCATAGATGTGCTGATAACTTCATCACCAGTCATTAAAATGCTGGCTTTATCTTGATATTTCTACAAGAAATAATCTCGTAAGCAGAAGCTTTTTGGAGGGGTGGTATTTTTTTTTATAACAAGGCAGCTTCCCTGGGCAGCAACAATTGAGCAAGCAATGAGAGAAATTAAATTTTACTAACAATTTAACGGAAGAAGTCTAGCATAAAATCAAAATAAGTTCCTCATTCTTAGGAGAATTAAATTTTTGTGCTTATCTGAAAAATTGTTCCCCAATATATGGTATATACTTATAAATTATTTACATGTATTATTATACTAAAAATTATATGCATTATAAAACTTATACCAAAAATAGATATTTAAGAAGGAAGAGATTAAAGATAAAATAATATTTGATCCTCAAGTCAATGGGAAACCACTGGAGTTTACTGAATAAGGGCAGTGACATGATCAGACTTACACTTTAGGAAAATTATTATGAGAGTTCTGTGGAGGATAAATTAGAGAAAGAGAAAGAAAAGGAGGAGTAGTAGCTAGAATTTATATAGCACTTTAAGGTTTGCAAAGTACTTTACAAATATAGCATTTTATCCTAACAATCTTAGGTGAAAGGGTGCTATTATTGTCTCTATTTTACAGATAAGGAAACTGAGGCAAACAAAGGTTAAGTGACTTGTGCAAGATCACACAGCTAGTAAATGTGTCTAAGACAAGAATCTGTACTCAGTACTTCCTGACTCCAGTACTCTATCAAGAATGTCACCAAGCTGGATGAGCCCCAGAGTGTGTGCCACCCACTCGAGGACCCTGGGCCCACCTCCTCAGCTCCTGCCTAGAATCTACCTGCTGCTCCCTCGTGGACAGTGGGCGACCATGAGGCTGCCCAACATCCTGCTCATGGATAAACCTGGGGTTGGAAAGACCACACTAGGTAAAGAACTTGCATCAAGAACAGGACTGAAATACGTTAATGTGGGCAATTTAGCACAAGAAGGACAGTTATATGATGGCTTTGATGAAGAATATGAATATTTCATTATGGATGAAGACCGAGTAGTTAATGAGTTAGAAAATAAAATGAAAGAAAATGGAGTTATTGTTGATTACCATGGCTGTGACTTCTTCCCGAACAATGGTTTCATATAGTTTTTGTGCTTCAAACAGAAAATTCTTATTATATACAAGACTTGAAAAGAGGGGATACAGTGTAAAGAAACCACAGGACAATATTCAGTGTGAAATTTTCCAAATTCTTTATGAAGAAGCCATGGCGTCCTACAACCATGAAATAGTACACCAGCTGCCCAGCAATGTACCAGAAGAATTAGAGAATAATTTAGATCAGACAATGAAATGGATTGAGCAGTGGAAAAAAGATAATAATTGAACCTTGACGGCAAAGCATTGGACTTTCAAGGGATCTTCTTGATGATTTCTCTTTCCCCATGCAGTAGAAATTAAGAAAACATACACCAAAATTTACTATCCCCCTTGCATCATAGAAGTAGCAGGTGGACAATATATAAAGTTGAGTTATGACTAAATTAATTTTTTTCCTTCATGAGAAAACTGAAAACCCCCAAATACAATGAATAAAATATTAAGGACTTTTTCAGTTTAGGAATATTTAGCATTCTCATTTATAAATAAGAATAAGCTAAAGAATAAGCAAATTTGAGAAAATAGACAGAAATCTTTACTACTTGACATGAAAAAGAAAATGAAGGCTAGGAAGAACTGCTGACTTAGAAATAAAAGAGCCTAAGGATAAAGGTATAAACATTACATTAAGTGTTCTATTGGTGGTGAATTGCTGGGTTTTTTTTTTTTAAATCTTGGAAGCTGGTTATAAAGAAGGATAGTCACAAAGTAAATGGTGAGGTCTTTGAGAAAATAGTATTTTTTTTTTTTAGTACAAGAGTTCACTGAACTCTTTTGCCTATAAAATCACTGCTGATCCTAGCACTGATATTTGTCCCTGCAGAAGAGTAAGCCAATCACATTTTCCATAAAAAGAAGGGCAATGGCAAAGTCTTCTGTGTACCCATGGAAACTGTAAATATTAATTTATTGGTTGACTAATTTCAGTCTTGCTAAGTTTCATAAAAATTCATGTGATAATGGTTTGCTGCAATATAGGTGGTGGTAATTATTAGATAAAATTTTAAAATATATATATAAAAAAAAGAATGTTACCAAGCTAACTGGGACAGATACCTGGGGCACTTAGATCAATTTGGAGGTTCCTACTATAATACAGACCAGACATAATAAGACTCTGAACTAGAATAGAAGTTATATGTGCTAGAAAGAAGAGGAGAGATGTGAGAGAGATGTTATGGAGATACTACAAGATATGGCAACAGATTGTATATGTGGAGTGAGAAAAAATGAAGAGTCAAAGAGGACACCAAGGTTTCTAATCTGGATGACTTAACTAAAACAGCAGTTTAGAAGAGAGGTAGGTTAGGAAGAAGACAATGTAATAGTATTTGCATGCAGATCTCAACCCTTTCATGCCTGTTCATTCTCTACAACTCACTCTGTCCCACCCAAAATTAAAAGGAGGGAGATGGAGTTCTTACTCATCAGTCACTGACTTCCTTGAAGCAGTAGCTACATAAGACCTGCTTACGCCTTGCTCAGTTACAAGGTGATCAGGGAGACAACAAAGTAGATATACTGGGGTAGGAGACAGCGGGGAAGAGGGACAGATTTTCCCAATGTAAGCTGTACAGCTGCTCTTGAGGGGAGACATGCCAGTAGAAGTCAGGTTATTACTATGATGAAGGACTGAAATACAGGGCAGAAGTGAGGAGGATGCAAACTTTCAGAAGGAGGGAAAATGAAGTATGGGAACAAGTCGGGGGATAAAGATAGATATGGCTGTGTTCAGACAAGTTCCAAAACTGGGTATCACAGGCCAGGGGGAATGTGATCTCCCTTCCTACCCTCTAGTGGGTTGATGACAAGAACTTTGGGTTTAGGTCATGATCTTCACCATTTGCAGACCACTGATCTAAAGAATGTCACTAAAAAAACTTAGCTGATTCACCTGAAAATGCCCTAAGAAAACAAAGAAGTGAAGCCTACTAAAGCTCACATGTGAAATTAAGAGGTGAAACTAAACAAAACTCACATGTAAAAATTGAGCCATTACTTACTGTATTATGTTGTACTGTATTATGTGGGGAAAAAGAAAAAGTTAATACAAAACAGACAATAACTTTCTTTCACCTATCTTCTATAAAGCTTAAGTACTTTATAACCAACCTTCTATACTTCAAACTTACTTGAAAATTTAAAGTTCTGAATCAAGGTACTGGATAAATAATGAGAGTTCCTCCATTCTCAAACAATATTTATTTTTAATCAATAACTTAACTCACTCTTATTTTTACATATTATTTATATTGGCACATACATATTGCTTTAATGCTTCTCTATACTGCTCTACTGCAAAAACACAGAACATTGCTGTGAGTTCCCTCTTCTTCCCTTCTCTGCATTCTGATGACTTCATGACATGTCCCCCATCATTTCCTCCTTTACTCTAATCTATGTTGAAGAAGTGGCCCTTCTTTGCCAAGGCAAACCTTTCTATGGATACCACTGATCCCGTTCCTTCCTATCTCAAGTCAATTGCCTCCAAAATCAAACAATCCCTCTTCTCTCTTGCATCTTCAAACTTTTCTTACCCACTGGTTCTTCCCTTACTGTCTATCAACATGTTAAGTCTCTACTCTCCTTTAAAAACACTCTAGAGGCCTTGCCACCCATCCACTAACAGAAGAAACCATTGTATATCTCTCCATCTTTTTCAAAAGGCCAAACTCATGTCTGCTTTCCTTGCCTCTACTTTCTGATCTCTCACTCTCTTCTCAATCTCTACTATCTGGCTTCTGACCTCACTAACTCAACTAATCTTGAACCCTGCTATTCCACACACATGAAATTCTATCTCCTGGTTCCACGCTTTTCTTCATACCCGGAATATAATTCCTTTTCTTGGAATCTATGTCACTTTTGTCTTCATATCCGCATACCATATCTCAATCCCAAACACACAGTAGTGGCTTAATAAATGCTTGCTGACTAACTGAATGGCATTTAATCTAAATTAACATTCTTCTGAGCCCCTAATATTACTAGCCTGAAATTAATCTTATATTCTTAAAAACTTCGCCACATATTTAGCTTCAAGAGAAATCAGATTTTGATATCATAATTAACACACACAAACTTCACTGATAATTCTGAAAATGTCACCTGTAAAGTCAGTGAGACCTCACCTAAGATTTGACTATGTCATTTTCAATGAGTTTAGAGACATCAACATAGGAAAGCTATACTTTGTGAAAAACCTAGATGACACCCACAGATCCTACATTTACTTTAGGCCACAAACACTACTTATTCAAACAGAGTGCTCACTCATACTTAGATTAAACAGAGGAAAGCATTAATTTACTGCACATCACAAAATGAAAGCAAGTATTTCCAACCCATCTATCAAAAGAAAATCAATAGATGTCCCTGTACATCCCCTTGACAGTGGTAGCAATGAGTGAAGAAAGAAGATAAACCAAAGAAAATGTATTTCTATTTCAGAAAAAGGACCCCAAACATAAACAAGGACACCTCACTACCATCTAGATCTGCAGCTGGGTCAAACATGAAATCCATCACTCCCTCAGAACAATGTTTGACTGCCAAGAACCTGACTCAAGCCACAAGTCAAATTGCAACCAGTCAAATGTCACCATTATCAGTGAAACCCAAAGGTCTCTTTCTAAAAATTGTAAAACGTGCAATGGTAAAATAGTGAACAAAGCAGAAAATGATCAAAAACAAGAACAGCATCTACTTACAATGCGTGACTCCAGCCAGAGTTTGGTAGAAAGTAGGGGTATCACTATCATCAGTGAGAGTAACATAAACACCTCCAGACAGTAGCCATCGGGAAAAAGTGAAAGCATCTTTGTTTTGCAGTAGCCAGTTTCTGAACTTCTCATAGTTGACTTTTTCACCCTGAAATAAAAATAAGAATAAGTGAACCAAGGGAAAAAAATTTAAACTACAGAACATATACATTTTTACTCTTCCAAATTAAGGTATAGAAAAAGCACATTAGTAGGTTACACAGACAACAGAGTATTGGACTTGTAGCCAGGAAGACCTGAATTTACATTATGCCTCAAATACTAGCTATGTGTTCTTGGACAAGTCACTTAACCACTCCCAGCTTCAGTTTCTTCATCAGTAAAATCACAGCACCTACCTCACAGGGATTTTGTGAGGATCAAATGAGACAACATATGTAAAGTGCTTTGAAAAACCTTAAAGTGCTACCTAAATGGTAGTTATCACTACTATTAAAATGCAGAAACAAAATAGTATGTGAGGCAAGGAAAGATTAACAATTTGTGAGACTGAGGAAGGCCTCCTGGAGGAAATGGTATTTGAGGGGATGCCTTGAAAGATTTTAATAGGTGTGAGACCAGGGAAGGAGGGAGTGGGATTCTCAGCACAGTGAATAGTATGAGCTAAGGCAAAGGGGTGGAGAAGTTGGAATGTACATGTTTAAAAAACGATACATTTTGGCTGAAGCACAATATATGAATAGTATGAAAAAGGGAATAATGGGGTAGCTAAGGGACGCAGTAGATAAAGCTCCGGCCTCGGAGTTAGGATGACCTGAGTTCAAATCTGACCTCACAGACACTTGATACTTACTAGCTGTATGACCCTGGGCAAGTCACTTAACCCCTGATTGCCTCACCAAAAAGCAAAAAAAAAAAAAAATTCTAAGTCTGAGATTCTAAATCTATGATTGTAAATTTTGGGTAGCTAGGTGGTGCAGTAGATAGAACACTAGCCCTAGGGTCAGGCAGATCTGAGTTCAAATCCAGTCTCAGACACTTACTAGCTATGTGACCCTGGGCAAGTCACTTAACTCCAACTGCCTCAAAAAAGGGGGGGGGAAGGATAGGGAAGCAAATTTTGATATTTCTCATATCCAATAAATTAACAAATACCATTCATTCTACAACCACAGGATCTTGAATCTGTATCCTCCTCTCTATTCCACGACCACCAGTGTATTATGAACTCTCATTACTAATTGCCTAGATTAATAAATGAACCCTCTAATGTGTCTTCCCACTTCTACTCTCTCCCTATACTAACTCATCATTCATGCCATCACAGTAATGATATTTCCTTACCTATAGATCTGATCATAACCTTCTTCTACTCACTCAAAAATATTTAGTGACTCTTTATTGCCTGAGTAAAGTTCAAATGACTATGTCTGACAGGACAGGCCTATTATCATATGGAGCAACTCTATCAGCCCAGCCTTTATTTCACATAGCTCTCAACAGTGGGATCTAAATCCTAGCCAAAATTAGCTACTCTTTGTCCCCTGAAGATGCATAACATAATAAGCAACAGTAAAATGAATTTGTTTATCCTATTCCATATGCTTAGAATACTTTCTCCTCTTCTCCCCAACCCACTGACTTCCTACCTACCCTGAAAAGTCTTTCCAAAGACTAACTGAAATGCTACCTCTCTCACAAAGACTTGATTTTTCAAGTTGTTAATGACTTTCTCTACTCTCACATTCCATGTAGCTTTTTGTTTTGTACCTCTCTAATAATTTTTACATACTTTTTAATACGGTAATTATTTGTCTGTATATCATATTCTCTTATCAAAGTTCCATGAGGGTTGGGGTAGTGTCTTATATGAATTGTGTCTCTGTACAGAATAGGCTCTTAACAAATATTTGTAGAATTAAACTGAACTGTGTATATTCAATCAATCATATATGCATTATTAAATAACTAGAATGTGCAAAGTTGTGCTAGAAGCTAAGAATAAAAAGCCAAAAATAAAATCCATATTTCATAAGATACAAAGGAATAAAAGAATTTCACCTACATAGTAACTAAAGTGAGTTCTCAACTTACTAATAGGTTGTATTCCAAAAGTTAATTTATTTGCCAGTACCGTGGGCACATTTCCACATGGAAAAAATGTGATAAATGATGAACAGATTTTATTGACCAACAAAAATCTATGTAGCACATAAAATCATTCACAAGAGTTGAAAAGGTTGAGATCTACAACACTTGAATACCTAAATTTTTAAAAAATCCATTGAAATATTTTTTCTTTTTTCAAAACAAGGTTATCTTTTGTTTTACATTATTTTCATTTGAATATATAATAAACTTAAATACCGAAAACGTCATCAGTACATGTTATCCTTATCCACCTACTAGACCCTATGAGAACAGAAAGCGTCATATGTTGACTTTATTGTTCCTAAATATATAGCACACTCCCTTGCACATAGCAGTCGCTCAAATTATTGCTGAGTTCAAATGGACAGATTTTTACCGGTAAATCAAGTCTTACTAAACTTGATGAATTGCTTAAATACACTGAAAATGCTTTGGAAAAACATGCATTAGCAATAAACACTTATTAAGCATCTAGGCACTGTAATAAGAACTGGAGATATAAATAAGAAACACAGTCCCTCAAGGAACTTATAATCTTAGTATCATTGTTATTATATAAAAATCATAGAATCAAGGAATTAAGAACTAGAAGATGATAGAACCATACGTCTTTAATCATCTTACTGGCTGTCCCTCAGGCCTGAAACTCTTTCCTTCTGCCTACAAGGAATTAAGAACTAGAAGATGATAGAACCATACGTCTTTAATCATCTTACTGGCTGTCCCTCAGGCCTGAAACTCTTTCCTTCTGCCTATTAGCTTCCTTGACTTCATTCAAATGTCAGTTAAAATCCGACCTTCTGCATGAAGTCTTTTCCGGTACTCCTTAATGCTAGTGCGTTCCTCCTTAGATTATCTCCAATTTATACAGTACCTATCTTTTTTGTACACAGTTGTTTGCATGTCCCCACCACCATCAGCCCTCTGACACTCTCAGTTGTGAGTTCCCTGAAGGCAGTGACTGTCTTTCTTTGTATCCCTAGTGCTTAGCACACTGCCAGCCACATAAGTATGTATGTAATAAATACTTGTATACCTGATTTCATTTTACACCTAAGGAAACTGAAGCCTGAAGAGTAAATTATTAGCCCAAGATTAAATTAATAAGTACAGCTGAAGTTTTATATCTTAAGTACAGGGGATGGTGAAGATAGACTATCCAGGCACTTGATAACCATGTCAACTTAACATGTTAAAGAGTAAGATATACACTTTCCTTCTCCAAAATGACAAAGTGCTAAAGGAAAATAAGTAAGAATACTGTGATGTCAAAAGTCAGACAAAGATTACCTACAAAGTATTGTGTGGTGCTTATTCCTCAATGTTCTAAAAACAAAGTTATTGAAAACTATGTCTTTCCTCTAATCCTACATCAACTGCCACTCGTAACTCACCTATTTCTGTGAATGGCACAACCATTCTTTCATGTGCCCAGATTATAAATCTAGGAGTCATCCTTGACTCTTCCCTCTAACTCACCTCCCATAGCCAAAAAACAGTGAAATTTTATTAATTCTACTTCAACAATATCCTTCAAATTCATAACTGTAACTCCATTCACATGGCTACCACCCAAGTTCAAGCTTTGATCTCCCGGAGCCTGGATTATCACAGAGGCTTTCCTCCTAACTACCTCCTTGTTCTAGCCTTTCCTATCCATCCTCTAGACAGTTTCCAAACTGATATTCCTAAAGCACAGGGCTAATGAAGTCAATCCCATACTAAAGAACCTTCTGAAGCTCCTAGTATCTCTAATATAAACTACCAACTCCTTAGTTTGGCACTTAAAGCCTTTTACAAGCTGCCTAAGAGGCAGCAGGTAGTCATTCTTCTATGTCTGTGTCCTGACATTCCTTGCCATGATAACAGTTCCTGAAAGTGCAATTATTTTTTGTTTCCTCATTCTTCCAGACTACATATAACCATTCTTACTGGCTTCACTACAAATATACGTTACACAACCTCTATGAGGCTCTCAATGGTGCTAGGCAATCCTTATACAATTCTATCAAACCACTGTTCCAATCTCCACAGAGGCTCTTCCAAACCTTTTGATCCCTCCTCAAACTGCCCACAGGTCCCACTGTCTCCACCCTCTCAGCTGAAAACCTTGCCTCATATTTTACAGAAAAAAATGAGGCCATCGCTGAAAGCTCCCTTCTCTCTCTCATCTCACCTCCAGAAAGAAGTCTTATCCTCTCTAATTTTAGCGCCTTCCCTTTGAGATTAGCTCCAAAATATCCTGCATATATCCTATTTGTACATAATCGTTTGCCTTTTGTCTTCTCCATTATATCATGAGGTTCTTGAAAGCAGGAATTCATTTTTGCCTTTCTTTGTATACCCAAGTGTACCAAACACAGTACCTGGCACCACAGCAGGGCATTAATAAATGCGAGTTAACCAACTGACAAAACAGAAAATCTGCAATTGGCGCTAAGACAGCTGCACTGGAAGCATAGTCATTGGAAGTCTCAGATGGCAGAATTATATCAATAGAGTGGATAGACTATTAGCCAACTCTCCCTCATTTCAGATGGCGCCTGTAACTGACTTTCTTATATTTCTAGGAGCAAAATCACAATGTATATGGTTCAGAAACTATCTAGAATGATAATTTTTACCTTTCCCTCAAAGGAATGTTCTCAAAAATTATGAAATGGTTGTTCACTGAACTATTAACAAGAATCTCATACACAATGAATAACTATAAACCTTCAGATTATTTTTCTCAACACTAAAAAAATCTTTTGAAATATTATAACTTCTCAATTTTGTGCATGTAGATCACCCATATCAAATCTGAATTTCATTTCCTCCTCTCACCTCTTCCATAATTCAGTTGTATTACTCAAAAAATGAGAATTCTGGTAGTCACTTACAAAAACAAAGTAAAGTTAGTAAGATGAAATTCCATTACAAAACAAGAATGCTACTTAAAAAACTACTTCTAAGGTTTTGGCAGAACCACCAATAATAATACTGTATTGATGTGAT